GAGGAGGAAAGGGCGGAGCTGCCCGTGTGGCTCCCCGAGAGAAATCAGCCGAGTGCAGCCTCGGGTGAACGGGTGCCCCCGGGCTTCGTCCGGGGCCAGGGGCTCAGAAGGATCGTGGCTGGCGGGGGACGGACGGCGATCGAGCCCTGTGCAAGAGGCCTGACCATGCCGCGCCGCGGAGGGTCTCCTGGCCAGCGCCACCGCGGGTCCGACCGGGAGCAGGAACCGGATAGGTCCTCGGAGGCTGCCCGGCTGAGACGTCTTTGGATGGCCTTGGGCCTGGCGCTGGCGCTGACCCTGCCCGACTCCCTGGTTCTCTGGGTCCCGGTCGGGGCCCACCCTCTGCCTACCCAAGGCCATCCGGCCAGGCTCAGTCGCTTAGCGCCCCAGCTCCAGCACACTTTTAGCTGGTGGAACCTCACTTGCCCTGTTTGCAAAAGCCTGTTCACCGTCATCGACATCGGCCTAAAGGTGAGCACCAAGGGGATGCGGTAGAGGAGGGACAGATGAGCCCTGCGCGGGGAGGGGGGGTGTTGTGTGTGAGGTGAAGGCGGCAGGCAGCGGGAGGGCGCACCGACCAGTCCTGGCTGCAGAGTGGTATCTGTAATTGTTCGCTGAATTGACTTCCCCCCTTAGACACCGCGGCTACCGCAGCAACCGGATTGTGACATGTGCGGAGGAAGAAGGAAAGAATGCAAATTGTATGCTAGGCACTGTGGTAGCCATTTCAGACAGATTGTCAAGCACGAGCAGCTTTTGAACAGAGCATTTTACAAAGGAGTAGAATCCCAGAGACATGGGGTCCGTTGCCCAGGGCTACACAGCTGGTTGGGGTGGGGATGGGTGCTGGAGCTCCCATCCTGGTGTTTAGCCTCCTGAGCTTCTCCCGCCCTTGGGAGCACCATGCCTGGTACTAGAAGCTCAAAAAGGAGCTAAATTACAAACAGCACTGACTGAGATGGGGACTAGGTTGGGTAGCTATCTCTCTGGATATATGAGGGGGCTTCAAAGTTCCCAAAGTTCTTGGGAAACATGGAATTAAAAGATAATGGAATTTTTCCATGAACATTTTGAAGCCCCTTTGTATCTGGTTCAATGGTGCTGCTTCAATGGTGGGCTGTGTAACAAAGCCCTGCCCGTTTGTGTGTCCACCCCCTCCCCTACCCACCGGCACCAAACACCGCTTAGCCTAAGGCTGCAGTCAGTACCTAAGAAAGTTGTTGGAAGAGTCCCGGAGTGTGTGGTTTGAGGTTGTTGTCCTATCAGAAGCCAGCTGGTCAAATGGAGATCTGAAACGCCATTGGCCACAGAGACCGAGAGGAATGCCTGCCCAGATGCTGCCTCAGCCACATCTGTGAGGCAGAGAGGGCGTGGACATTTCACGGTGATGTTCGGAGACCAACCGCAGTCCCATATGGTGGCAGAGCAGTGGTGCTCAGGGCCTGACCGGGTTCCCCTATGCTGTGGTGTCTGACCTGTTGTCACTTGCTCTCCCCACAGCAGGAGCCCAATGTGGCCCGGGTGGGCTCCATGGTCATCAAGTTGTGCAATCTGCTGAAAATAGCACCGCCTGCTGTGTGCCAGTCAGCTGTCCAGCTCTTTCAGGGTGACATGGTGGAGGTGTGGACACGCTCAGTGCTGAGCCCATCTGAAGCCTGTGGCCTGCTCCTGGGCTCCAACTGTGGACACTGGGATGTCTTCTCGTCTTGGAATATCTCTTTGCCAGCTGTGCCCAAGCCACCTCCCCACCCTCCCCGCCCCCCAGCCCCAGGCGCCCCTGTCAGCCGTGTCCTCTTCCTCACTGACCTGCACTGGGATCACGGCTATCTGGAGGGTGCAGACCCTGACTGTGTGGACCCACTGTGCTGCCGCCAGGGCTCGGGCTTGCCGCCTGCCTCCCGGCCAGGTGCTGGACACTGGGGCGAGTACAGCAAGTGTGACCTGCCCCTGTGGACCCTGGAGAGCCTGCTGAGCGAGCTGGGTCCAGCTGGCCCTTTTGACATGGTCTACTGGACAGGGGACATCCCCGCCCATGACATCTGGCAACAGTCTCGAAAGGACCAGCTTCGGGCCCTGACCACCATCACAGCCCTTGTGAAGAAGTTCTTGGGTCCAGTGCCTGTGTACCCTGCTGTGGGCAACCATGAGAGCACACCGGTCAATGGCTTCCCTCCACCCTTCATCCAGGGCAACCATTCCTCCCGCTGGCTCTACGAGGCCATGGCCAAGGAGTGGGAGTCCTGGCTGCCTGCAGAAGCCCTTCACACGCTCAGGTGCTTGGGGCCTATAGAGGCCCAGAAAGGGAGCACCGAGGTGGATAAAATGGAAGGGAACGGGGAACCAGGGGCATGATCTCTGCCTGCTCTCACACAAGTCCTCAGCATTCCTCACTGGTCCTCCCTCATCTGACCCCACCTTCCCTCTCAGCCTTATTTCCAGCTACCTTCCTTCAAAGCCTAACACGAACCCATCTGGCTGCTTGCTCATGTTGGCTCTCTAAAATTCCTTGCCCTTTTAAAAGTCCTCAACTCACCTTGTGGCAAATGGCCTTTGCTTCTTACTCTAGTTCACTGTGATTTCTCCTTGAACTGCCAGTACCTGTAACCCTGAGGCATTTCCAGTCACCTGAGCCCTACATACTATTGATGTATGCTCCCTGGGGGTAGTCCGCCACTGCCCCCCACCTGAAAGCCTAGCACGGGGCTGGGCAAGCAGGGCCAGGCATATGAGTGAGTGCTGACCGCTCATGTTCACTTTGTTTCAGAATCGGGGGGTTCTATGCCCTGTCCCCATACCCGGGCCTCCGCCTCATCTCTCTCAATATGAATTTTTGTTCCCGGGAGAACTTCTGGCTCTTGATCAACTCCACAGATCCCGCTGGACAGCTCGAGTGGCTGGTGGGGGAGCTCCAGGCTGCTGAGGACCGAGGAGACAAAG